CCCAAGTTTATACTAGTGAAACCCAAGTTTATACTAGTGAAACCCAAGTTTATACTAGTGAAACCCAAGTTTATACTAGTGAAACCCAAGTTTATACTAGTGAAACCCAAGTTTATACTAGTGAAACCCAAGTTTATACTAGTGAAACCCAAGTTTATACTAGTGAAACCCAAGTTTATACTAGTGAAACCAAGTTTATACTAGTGAAACCCAAGTTTATACTAGTGAAACCCAAGTTTATACAGTGAAACCCAAGTTTATACTAGTGAAACCCAAGTTTATACTATGAAACCCAAGTTTATACTAGTGAAACCCAAGTTTATACCAGTGAAACCCAAGTTTATACTACTGAAACCCAAGTTTATACTAGTGAAACCCAAGTTTATACTAGTGAAACCCAAGTTTATACTAGTGAAACCCAAGTTTATACTAGTGAAACCCAAGTTTATACTAGTGAAACCCAAGTTTATACTAGTGAAACCCAAGTTTATACTAGTGAAACCCAAGTTTATACTAGTGAAACCCAAGTTTATACTAGTGAAACCCAAGTTTATACTAGTGAAACCCAAGTTTATACTAGTGAAACCCAAGTTTATACTAGTGAAACCCAAGTTTATACTAGTGAAACCCAAGTTTATACTAGTGAAACCCAAGTTTATACTAGTGAAAACCAAGTTTATACTAGTGAAACCCAAGTTTATACTAGTGAAACCCAAGTTTATACTAGTGAAACCAAGTTTATACTAGTGAAAACCAAGTTTATACTAGTGAAACCCAAGTTTATACTAGTGAAAACCAAGGTGAACCACTGATTTTGTTTTAGCAACATTTAAACAGTATGAAGTAATCTTTTGTTTAAAAAAACACATAATAATAATAATAATAATAATAATAATAATAATAATAATAATAATAATAATTATAATAATAATAAATAAAATAATAACCTTGTATGGTATTAATTCATCTATATAAGGCATAATTATCTTTGGTAACTGATAATTTTCTAGTGTAGATTTAGGTTCAGTTATATTTACATTCAGGTGCTTTATAACACAATTTATATTGTTTCTTAGTTGTCTGGTCATTGGTTTACGTGCGTATTAAAACTGTTTCTCCACGAACAGTCTGGTAACCAACCTCTCGACTTTCTCTAGTTTCTCTACTTGTTTGTTCAAGAGAGAGCTCAATGCTGCTGCTGACTTCTCTTATTATAGTCATTTCTTCGCCACACATGCGTTCATCCAGTTTTTTTTTTATTTAACATTATCTTTATTTTTTCATGTACAAGGTATAAAGTCCTAGATGACATCAGTGACACTACTATATAGAAAGCCGCTCGTTATGCAGAGCATTTCGGGCAAATTAGGTCAGTTTTGTCCCAGGATGCGACCCACACCAGTCCACTAACACCCAGGTACCCATTATTACTGATGGGTGAACATAGACAACCTGTGTAAGGAAACATGCCCAATGTTTCTAACCTCACAGGGAATCGAACCCGGACTCTCATGTGTAAAGGGAGAGCTTTCGCCACCAGTCCACGGACCACGGGTGCCGTGTTCCTCTTGTGTTGCACTGTTACACTGAGGTAACTCTTAAGTCTAGTTTATTACACTGCGTTTGTAATATTGGTCTCAGCTTCTTTCCAATATTAATTTTTCCTCTGATTTTCGTTTTTCTATAATTTCTGGGTATACTTTCTACCAGCCACCAGCAATGTTATTCATTAGTCACAATAATCTATGGTATAGTTTAGGGCATATAGGAAATACCTGAAAAAAATAATGAAAGTTTTGTTATCAGATCAAATTTCTTAGTTTAGCCTAAGTAAATTTCTTACACATATTTTTTTATGAAAAAAATGCACTTGCAGGTGTTCAAATAATGAGAGATATGACGTCATTATGGCTGCATTGCAGTTTTCACTTTTCGTGCTGATGATATAAAAAATATTTTATATGAAAAACTTGCAGTTTGATGAGGAATTAATTTTATTCGTAGCATTTCTATAAAAAAATAATGATAGACGGAAAGTTAGCAGGGGCCTCACTCTGATCCCAAATATTAGTTTTTATAGATGAATCTTCCGCCAGCGTGGCCGTGATGAACTCTAGCTCATGTCCCCTCAATGCAGTCATCATGACTCACGAAATCGTAAAAAAAAAAAAATTCTGATTCTTGGAGAGCAAAGAATTTGAGAAAAAATTCTTTATTTTTAAATCGAGAACTGTAAGATTTAACATTTGTTGGTTAAGAGTTGCTAGGTTAAGAGACTCTACTGTGGCACTCACCACCAGTAGTGTACTGTGGCACTCACCACCAGTAGTGTACTGTGGCACTCACCACCAGTAGTGTACTGTGGCACTCACCACCAGTAGTGTACTGTGGCACTCACCACCAGTAGTGTACTGTGGCACTCACCACCAGTAGTGTACTGTGGCACTCACCACCAGTAGTGTACTGTGGCACTCATCACCAGTAGTGTACTGTGGCACTCATCACCAGTAGTGCACTGTGGCACTCACCACCAGTAGTGTACTGTGGCACTCACCACCAGTAGTGTACTGTGGCACTCACAACCAGTAGTGTACTGTGGCACTCACCACCAGTAGTGTACTGTGGCACTCACCACCAGTAGTGTACTGTGGCACTCACCACCAGTAGTGTACTGTGGCACTCACCACCAGTAGTGTACTGTGGCACTCACAACCAGTAGTGTACTGTGGCACTCACCACCAGTAGTGTACTGTGGCACTCACCACCAGTAGTGTACTGTGGCACTCACAACCAGTAGTGTACTGTGGCACTCACCACCAGTAGTGTACTGTGGCACTCATCACCAGTAGTGTACTGTGGCACTCACCACCAGTAGTGTACTGTGGCACTCACCACCAGTAGTATACTGTGGCACTCACAACCAGTAGTGTACTGTGGCACTCACCACCAGTAGTGTACTGTGGCACTCACCACCAGTAGTGTACTGTGGCACTCACAACCAGTAGTGTACTGTGGCACTCACCACCAGTAGTGTACTGTGGCACTCACCACCAGTAGTGTACTGTGGCACTCACCACCAGTAGTGTACTGTGGCACTCACCACCAGTAGTGTACTGTGGCACTCACCACCAGGAGTGTGCTGTGCCTGTCTTCAGATTTGCTTATAACAAAATCCTTACAGCTTACTAAATCCTTACAGCTTACTAAATCCTTGCAGCTTACTAAATCCTTACAGCTTACTAAATCCTTACAGCTTACTAAATCCTTACAGCTTACTAAATCCTTACAGCTTACTAAATCCTTACAGCTTACTAAATCCTTACAGCTTACTAAATCCTTACAGCTTACTAAATCCTTGCAGCTTACTAAATCCTTACAGCTTACTAAATCCTTACAGCTTACTAAATCCTTACAGCTTACTAAATCCTTACAGCTTACTAAATCCTTACAGCTTACTAAATCCTTACAGCTTACTAAATCCTTACAGCTTACTAAATATGAACTTGAAGTACTAAGATTAGGTCTCAGTTTTTCTCATAATCCAGTGAATAACTGTCTTGAACTCCATCAAACGTTTTTATATCTTTCGAGAGTAGAATATCCATTTCTTCTTTTTTTTTTTTTTTTTTTTTTTTTGTTCTTTTTATTGACCTTGCATGAGTTACCACTTCATGATAGTATTTATCAAATACTTTTGTAAAATCCATGCAACATTATTGGTGTTTTTTTAAATGCCTCATCGATTGTTTTTATAGTTATATAGTAGTTATGAGTGGCAAGATATCATGTTCCAAAAATCATTGGGTGGGGTTTTGTAGTTCCTGCTTCTCTATTAATTAAATCAGTGTTGTGGCGTCTCACAGATTGGTCAGTATTTTGTGTCATCGCTCTACTGCCGCCTTTGTCAAGTGGGGGGCTCTCTGTGTATGTATTGTTCAGGACTTTTTGAAATTTATCTCGAGTCTAAACTTCTTCCCCAAAGAACTCTGTATTCGTCTTCTAGTGGTATTTTACATCCCTTAATTAATACAGCAATTTAAAGTTATGCCCTGGTGCTGTAAATGTGGGCATGATGTAAATTTTATTTTCTAAGTTTGTAGGATTTTAGCAACTATTGGACATATGATCTTCAAGGTTTCTAATTTTAATGTAATAAATAAGAATGGTTCGTGGCTCAAGTGGTAGTGGCTTTTGTTCTCAACTGAATTATTGGAGACTGATCCTGGGACGAGTGGACACGCTGGGAATGTTTCCTTAGTAAGTAGATACCTGAGTGTTAGCCAACCGTTGTGGGTCGCATCCTGGGGAAGAGGACCGAAGGTGCCTAAATGGACAAAAGCCAGTCTGGTTTACTTGGGTTGCCCTGGCTTGCTAACCCTCTAGTTTAATAATCGGAATAAACTATTATCTTCTTCAAATCTCATGATGTTTAGTGTACTGCTGAATTATGATTTATTCAGCTTTTTTTTTTTTTTTAAGGATTTTTCTCTTATCCTTGTCGTCAGATGTATAGAAACCTTGTTGGAGCAGCTGGCCTCTAATGGAAAAATTTGTTAGATTTTGTAATTGTGACTTTTTTTTTTGTTTTCCCAGTCTTCTCAATGAATTAGTGTTCTATTTTTTCTGTCTGGTATGAGTACTTTAGTTTCTGCTCTATAACAGTTATATCTTTATGTGTATTTTCTTTCCTGTTAGTGTCACTTGCGATTTTTGAGTATTTCAACAGTTTTTTTTCTTTAGCCGTCTTTATATTATATTCTCAGGATGCTTTTTCAGGGAATATTTGATATTTCCTTGTTTATTTTGTCTTAGTTAATTATCTAATTGTTTAAAGCTAAATTTACTAAACAAAGTGTTAAAAAAAGAATTTGTGCGATGTTGTTTAATATCTTAATCTTTTGCAGGAAAAGCTGTTTATCTGTAGCAAATTTAGACACCAATAAAGCAAATACAAGTATTGGTGTCGCCTCGTGCACTAACAGTTGTATGTTTTATTTCAGAGGATGAAGAGTGTGATTTTTGTGGTGGTGTTGGCCGTGGTGGCTGAGGTGCATCCCCAGTGTCTCTCCGAGAACGACAACCTCGACATTCCTGCCAGTAACGACCTCTCATCCATCACTGACTTCGGGCTTGAACTGTTCAAGGGACTTTTTCCCTACAACGCCACCAGCAAGAACTTCTTCTTTTCCCCTTACAGCGTGTGGAATGCTCTGACTCTCGCCTACTTCGGCTCGGGAGGTAACACTCAGAGTCAGCTGGAGGAAGTACTTCGGGTGACCGACAAAGTCTCCACTCTCAAGAACTGGAGAGCGTTGGAGTTTCTGTACGTAACCTAATATTCGTATCATTCCCTGCCTCTTCTAGTGTCCTAAATTTTCTTGGCTGGTTGAATTGCATATCCTCCAGCGTAGCAAAATTTAATGTACTTGAGTGGAAGACGGCAGTTTTATTTAAGATTTAGTTACAAAATATCTCACTTTATTTTTATACTACACTGGCCGTTTCCCACTAAGTTAAGGTGACAAAAAACAAAGGTTCACCATCATTCGCTCAACAGCCTTCTTGTCAGAGGTACACAGACATTACAGTTCAGATGGCTCTCCGAACTGCCACATTCACTCCCTTTCTCCAGGTGTAGGCACTGTACTTCCTCCAGGTGTAAGCACTGTACTTCCTCCAGGTGTAGGCACTGTACTTCCTCCAGGATTCATCACTGGCTAACCATTTTTTTCTAAATTTCTTCATAAATGTTAGTTTGCTCAACTACAATAGCACATATAATTTTTAAACGCATTTATTTCCAATCTCTTTGATCAAGAATAGTCACGCACACCTGCTGGATTCTGAAGCTCCCTACCACTTAAAACCCTTCATGCAACCCTACCTGAGATGACCCCCTCATTATTTCCTTCCACCCCCGGATTTGTACACCCTCTCTATCTCTCTAAATGTCCAAACCTCCTTAAAAAACTATCCTCCGCCATCTGATTTACACCTTTTGTAACTCCATACCATCTTATAATTTCTACGCAACGAATTCTTTGCATAAATAACATCTCATTTGCTTCCATCTGTCTCCTTGCTGTGATGTTTAAAACCCATACCACAACCATACAAAAGGGTTGGTACCACTATACTCTGGTTCATTTCCATTTTTGCAACCACAGAAAAATTTCTTCAACCGTTTACTGTCTTCTGTTCTGTGATTCAGCTCATCGTTCGTAAATTCATCTGTTGCTACGCCCTCACTCAAATACTAGCTAAATATATTAATTTCTTCCATACTCTTATCAGTCTGGTATGCAACTTTTTATTATCCACATCATCTTGTTTTCTAAGTTCACTTAAATTTTCTATTACACACCCTTTTAAACTCCTAGTCCAGACCGTTCAACTTTAGAATATAAAAAAAATACTGTGTGATCTTCAAAGAGCAACTTTGACAACTTCCACTTCGTATCAGATTCAACATCATTTAATCCCAAAACTCTCCCCAATACTCTAGCATTCACATCTTTCATAACCCCATTTATAAGTATATATTTAGTAACCAATATGCCTTTTCTAATTATATAAAAGTGAGAAACAGTTCCTCACCTTTATCTAAGTATTGTTCACTCATATACTTCAATGTAAACACTTGATCTACACATTCTCTAAAGTTTCTAGGTCCTCCTTTCTGTTTTAACTCTAACTCTTGTAAGAGCTAGGTGTATTTTGGATGCTGTGTTATCCGAGAAAGGTCTCCCCCATAAGCCCATCGCCCATTCTTCAGTTATTTCACTGAATCCAACAATTCTGAGTGTTTACGTTAATAAATTGGCATTGTTTACGCACACGGCATAATTCTGAAAGGCATCATTCTATTCATTTGGCGATTCAGCGATTCAAGACAAAAACTGTAATTGAAAAGTTGAAAATATAACTTACAAATTAGCAGCAATACACTACAATAACAGTGGGAACATTGTTTGTTACGTAGGATGCGCCAGTGTTGAAAGTTTGAAGCCAGTTAAAACAGGCTCGAGGAAGCTTCGTTAATGCCCCTATTGCTAGGATTCCGTTATTCCGGTACTATGGCTAGGCTAAGTAAGTGCTGTCTTATGGCTGGGGAGTAGCCATCGGACTACTGACAGCGATCCACTAATAATGTCTTTATTATGGTGTATAACGATGGTGAAGCTTTACTCTATATATCATAATAATTGGTTAGTGTTTGTCCACCCTGTCTGGGTCAGGGTCTTTGCCTCGATGAAGCTCTAATTTTGAATTTCCATCTTCGACCTGATGAAGATGGTCGACAGCAATGATGATTCAGTGATTCATTTAACAAATGTTAAATTCTTTATGCTACGATATTAGTTGTGACTGTGTTAGATACCACATACATTACAACATGAATAGCTGAAATGCCATCACTTAATAGTCCAGTTAGTGGCCTTCCTGCAGTTTATCCAAGTTAGGTTATGATAAACCAAAGTTACTATTTGTGGCATACCTGGAGCAGTGTTTCATTTTCTCTTTGCTCGGTCTCATTATTATTATTATTCCGTAGGTACCGCATGCGTCAGGCCAACAACAGCGACTACACCTTCAACCTCGCCAATCGTGCATTCTTTGATAAAACAGTATCGCTGCGGCCCTGTGTTGATGCTATCCTCCACAACGAGCTCCAGATTCTTGATTTTTCTGAGGTAATTTACAGTCTTGTATTTTCTCTTCTACCCTCATTGTATACTGTAAACAAATTATCTGACATCTGTTTAATTTTTACTAATTTTTTTTCGTGCGTCGCTTAAGTGCATGAAAAAGTATAAATGAGAAATATGTTATGTGTTCTTAGTAATATATGGCAACATTACTAGTGTTGAATAATTGTTTAGTTTGCCTGTTTGCAGAGAAAAGAAGCTTTTAAAATTGCAAATTTTGCAATTAAACTTGTTGGGGATCATAATATTTTCTTTCAGCTGGAATGTATCATATTACATGAAAACAGCTTACAGTCACTGGAAGAAAGCAATTAAATTTTGTTATTGGAAAATTGCTTTGCATATTTATACAGTAAATAAAACGCTCATAGTAATTGTTGGGTTGTTAAAACTCTGTATAACATTAAAGTATTTGTTATGAATGTTGACTCACATGAGCACCAAAGCTATACAGTAATAAAATGTAAACTGTTGTAGCAAACATTGCACTTGCTGTGTAGTTTCACCAACTAAAGACGGTAGTTATGTGAAGATTTATTGTAGTATTTAATCAGTGTCGCCATCCTGAGGCTTGGAGAAAGCTTGGCTTAGGTTAAGCAAGGTTTGTCAGGGAACAGAACAAGTGTTTCCTGACGCGGGTCTTAGTCAAATGATGACCCGCAGCTAGAGCTTTTGGTCATCTTTCCGAGGCCTTCCGCTGGCTTACCGGTCCACCTCTTTAAAAATTAAGGTTACAATTATAACCACCAATGCTAAAAGCTCGGCGTTCATCCCCACATCTGTTATCTGATGTGATAACTTGTGCAGTTTGGAATTACCGTAATTACAAAGTCACACTGTAATGGCCCGATAGTGAAGAATATAATAGCCTCAGCAGTGTTCCAGTGTGTGCTGGGAAGGACAGAGTTCACCTCCTGGCAGTTAGAGCTCCTTATGTGTGGGATTTCCTACTGAGTGTCCCTAATTCTTCCCTTGGCAGACGCATCCGGATTGGTATTGTCTTTTGCCTTGCCGCCCGTATCCTCGCGGAATATAGATGTATATGGTACCATGGTCTTGTTTGCCGTAGGTTCGAGGGAAAGATTGCAAGGCATGAGGAGGTTAATATAATCAAGATAAGCCTTCCAACAGCCGGATGCCTAGCAATAAAGGAGCCACCCAAATTATGCAGATATGGTGGCAACCAAAAGGCTGCAAGCCTAGAGGGATGGCAGGCAGGTGGTGTAGGACTACACATGTGTGTCCACACTGAGATAGCTATCTCCAGTACTCCAGGAAGGAAGGAAGGAAGAAAGGAGGGGCAGCTGCCAGTTTCAGGGAGTCCCAGAAGTCTTGAAAATATGGAGAACTTGCCCATCATTATATGTTTGTTCCCATAGGCTGAAAGACCCTTGACCCATGGGGAAATAGTGCACCTAAGTTCCTTAAGAAGCTAGGCAAAAGATTCACAGGACAACTAGGAATCCCAGGGCAGCTACTTTTCTATTCCAACGGCTCAGTGGTATAGTTCAGAGGGGTAATGTCTGTTGTATTCTGGCTACACGCCCGGCTCTGAGGAGCTGGATGAGAGTTATGTAATTTTGACAAACACGTAGCAATATCTACCTGTAATGTATCTCTTAAAGCTCGTGTATTGTATACTCCATCGCTGTACCATCTGTGTTTATCATGTCATAAAATGTAAATATAACTCGTAGTCTGAATATTTCTTAGGTAAATACTGATAATTATTTTTTTGGGGGGATTGGCACCTAAACAATTTTCCAATCACCATGGTGATCATTGTATTAGAATATACTATGTAAAATAACTGAAGCAGTTAATTGAAGTTATCTAATGTTATTAACCATCTGTCATTTAATACATATTAAAAGAAAACTCTCATTCACGTAGTTTAGAAATCTTATTCTATGTAAACCTTTTCTTGAATTATATAATTTCTAAACTCCCTGGAATGCTTCTCCACAGCCAACAGAAGCAGCGGACACCATCAACACCTTCGTTAGCGAGACAACGAAAGGTCGTATCACATCTCTAGTGGAACCTTCTCACGTGTCACAAGCTAAGATGGTTCTGGCCAACGCTGCCTTCTTCAAGGGTACCTGGCAATACCAGTTCAAGCCTTCACAAACTCGCAAGAACCTCTTCTACGCCACCCCAGAAGATTACTACTTTGTTGACATGATGACACAGAAGGGCAACTTCCGACACGGTCAGCTTCCACACTGTCTTGTTTATCAATGAGTTAAGATTAAAATTGAATTGTGTTTAAAAGGAACAAAAAGGCACAATACCGTGACTGGAACAATATACAAATAACTCGCACATGCGAGGAAGAAGCTTACGACGTTATGTAAACTTATGACGTTACGTAAGCTTAACGGCGTTAAGTCGTCGTAAGCTTCTCTCTCTCCTATGTGCGAGTTATTTGTGAATTGTGTTTGTTAAAAGTTTGCATTAAAGGTGATTTGTAGTTGTGTATGAGTTAAGTCTAAATAAGATGTCAAGATTGACTACGTTGGACGAAGATTGTGTTATTTCAGTACTATTTTTTGTTTTAGAGTTTGTGTTTATGTTCTTGCCTCTCCCCACCTCTCGACTACGTTTGGTCACTTAGTATTCTTGGCCTTATCGGCCTTATCACATTTATTTGTAAGACTTTGCGTGGACTACTTCCACACCAGAGTGTTCCACTGCCTAACTGCTCTGACTGGAGAAGTACTTTCTAATAGGGATGGGTTGATACTAAATCTTTGTTGATGCTGATACTCAATTTTAGTTCAAGACCGATACCGTTAAAATCAGCCGATACCCACTGATACCGATACCTTAAAAATTAGTTGATGTCCACCGATACTGGTGGTGATACCGATACTTTGGCACAGCCCATCTTTCTGACACCTGCCACTCGTTTTTGTCATTATTTTTTTTATCCATGTCCCTTATTTCTAGTCCTCTCTCTTTTCATACTATGTCTGTTTGTCATATCTTCCACTCCGCTTCCTTGGATGGAACCTAATTACCTTCCATTTCCCAGGCGCTGTGTGACACCTGACGGTTTAGATTTTCCATTAAATAATAATGATAATGATAATAATAATTAATAATAATGTCTGCCGTATCGTTTCCCTAAATACACTGTATATATGATGATGTGCTTGAGGTTATGTGTGTCTCTAGGTCCTTTTTCTTTTCTCAGATTTGTATGTTCTTTTTTCTTCTCCCATTTTTTATGACCGTTCACTTGCTGGTGTTGAAGTCCAATAAACACCTATATGAAGATCCTTCCTGCAGTCTGTATGGGTCCTCTTGTAATATTTCCCTCTCTTCTCTTGTACTCATTCTCTTCATTAGTTTGCGTCATCCGATAGGATAGATATACGCAGGACGCTTATCTAAGAGAGAACATTGGTCCCAGTACGTAACCTTGTGGAACACCCCTAGCCATGTTGATCATCCCCACACTGCTTCCTGAGTGCTCTTCCGGATTGTGGAAGTCTCATGTAAGGGAAAATAGTGTCTAATTCCCTCAGTACATTCTTCAAATATGTATGACATTACTACTGGCCTATGGTTCATTGCTGTCCATCTCTTCTTATTTCTTGAATATTTAAGCTGTTTTTGAAGTGTGCCTTGACTTTATCAGCTTATGGAACGTTTTTACCAATGGTTCACAAAATGTAGCTGATTCTTTAGTTCATTCCCTGTTGTGGTAATGTCCAGTTTTCGTTGTTCTATCCATTCTCTCCTGCTAAATGTTATCGACCCTGATCTTCAGTGAATACCTCCTTGAAATATTTGTCCAATTCTCGGCAGACCTTGCTCTCTCTCTCGTAATGTGTATTTCTTCCTCCTTCTCTTCCTTAGGTACTATTATGTGATCACATATTGTCAACTACTGTCTAATGTTTTGGCTCTGTCTTCGCCTTTGCCGCTAGATTAGTCTCATATGTCCTCTCTTCTCACTTCTGTGTATTTGTGTCTTTTTTTTTTTTTGCTCTCTTCTCTGTTACTAAATTCATAACTAAGTAAAAACAATATTGCTCTGAATTAAATAAATTTTGTAAGTTGTTCATTACCACCGTAACTTGCTTAGAAAATATAAATGATGAGGGCCCAGTTCCTGAACTCGTTATGTATTTCTATACTCAATAAATACTGTCCACAGAGGTGTTATGCTGTATATAACAAAGATGTCTACTACTTCTAATACATACATATACATATATTAACATCTCTATTGATGTCCGTCTTTTATTTTCAGTATCTATTCCAGGCTTCGCTACATTTTATCTTCGCTTCTCTACTATGATTGAACAGTTGACTTTTCTTATATTTTTCTTTTTTTCTTTTGCATCTTGATTCTTTCCTGCTATTTACTTTATCATATTATCTGTTTTCTTTCCTTCCAGTTCCTTTCCCCACTGGACCTGATTCAGGAATGTTCTCATCCTGTTACCCCTTCTTCAGTAATCTGGTATGACTTTCTTCTCGTTCCATGCTCCTTTCCAGGTTCGTTTTCACCAGGTAGTAAAAGCATAAGGCTGCAAGATCACTAACTCGCAGTAGCTACTTGCATTCTTTCTCTCGCATATCTGAGACCTCGTCTTGCTGGCTATACTCCGTTTTCTGAAGGCCTCAGTCAGATGACTACAAGCTCCAGCGGCGGGTCATCATCTAAGACCCGTGTCAGGAAACACTTGTACTGTTTCCTGACGAATCTTAGTCATGTCTTTAACTTGCTGGTAAACGTATTTCTTCATCACTATCTTTTATGTGTGTGTTTGTGCGTGTGTGAGTGTGCCTGTGCCCTTTCCTGACAGGTGGTTCAGGGCAGAAAACACGCAAAACTGATATATTTCCTCACACTACAGGAGTGTCAGAGGAACTCGGTGCACACATCCTTGAGCTGCCTTACACAGGCGAGGCAGTGTCTATGTACATCCTCCTGCCACCATTCATCAGTGGAGAGAATGGTTTCAATGCCATGGTGGAGCGTCTCAATGCCTCCCTCTTGACTGAGGCTTTCAATAACATGTGGCGCATGCAGGTCGAAGTGATCCTCCCGAAGTTCAAGCTGGAGCAGCTGGTTGAAGACGAACTTATGCTGGTGAGTGACCAATAGTACTCCTGTTTTTTCTTGTAGCTGTACACAATGTTACCACTTATTAGTTCTGACCTCTCACTCAGTATGTTCAGTTGTACTTCCTATACTTGCTTGTACTACCTTAAAGATGTTGATCTGTTTTCATTATTTTGAACTGTATTAGGTTCTTGATTTTCATGTGTTGTAAACATTGCTAATAATCATGGAAGTAGGTTAATTTTCTTTAATTATAAGGATTTTGGTTAAAGCTGTTTGTTCCAATAGATTACGTCAAAACAAAGACATTGTTATAAAACTAATTACCCTATATAAAGATAACTCATATTGGTCTTATTCACAGACATTAGCTGGCATGGGAATCACTGACCTGTTTGACCAGAGTCAAGCCAACTTGACAGCCTTTGCCCCCAATGGCAGTTTGAGCATAGGCAAAAGCATCCACAAGGCCTTTGTAGAGGTATCAGAGGAAGGGACAGAGGCAGCAGCAGCTACTGCTCTCATCTCTTGGAGAATTGCTCGACCAGTGGGACCTGAGAAGTTTGAATGTAATCATCCGTTCCTCTTCATAATTTATGACAATCTTACCAAAAATGTTCTTTTCCTGGGTGCCTACAAGAACCCTAAGGCTTGAAGGGCCTAACTTGCACAATTAACTGCAGGCAAGTAAGGTACCTATGCTGGTTACACTGGAGTAACCAGAACATGTTCATAAAACTGAGTAATACACCACACCTGAAAGTGAATTAAACCAGGTGAAATATATTACTTCTTGTGTTGATATTACTGAACCCATGCACATTAAAATTTAAGAGTTGACGTCGATCTTAATAGTATTTATGATGACCTTGATGTAGTTAGTTCTGTTAGGTTTTTACAAGTATGTTGTTTAAGATATTTTGTAATTCATTATGTAACGAAGCCAGGAAGCTTTTCTCTGTGATACTTGTCTAATAGCTTCTTTAGATGCAGAAATATTGCAGAACATTCAATGACCTTTACTCTGTGGCTGGTCACAAGTGAAAGAGACGCAGTGTTGTTGTTTTATAGTTCGTTATTTAAACCAGAGAACTGGATAGCTATATCCCTTCAGGAAGTATACCAGAGATCTGGATAACTGTATCCCTTCAGGAAGTATACCAGAGATCTGGATAACTGTATCCCTTCAGGAAGTATACCAGAGATCTGGATAACTGTATCCCTTCAGGAAGTATACCAGAGATCTAGATAACTGTATCACTTCAGGAAGTATACCAGAGACCTGGATAACTGTATCCCTTCAGCAAGTGTAGCATCGCTAACCGGTATTAAGCCACAGTCATTTATTTTCAACTTTATTTATGATCGTCCCTCTGACTAGACCAACATATATGGATACTATTCCTTGGAACAATTTTAATAATCAGTGGGTTAAGCCACTGGATCCTCATATAGAAATTATTTGCCCAAGGATATTGTCACCAGAAATCAAGAATGATTATATCATTATATCCTAGAGCCTATCAGTTGTGACGTTTTGTATTGAGAAGTATTCTGAAGTATTGAGAAGTATTCTGAAGTATTGAGAAGTATTCTGAAGTATTGAGAAGTATTCTGAAGTATTGAGAAGTATTCTGAAGTATTGAGAAGTATTCTGAAGTATTGAGAAGTATTCTGAAGTATTGAGAAGTATTCTGAAGTATTGAGAAGTATTCTGAAGTATTGAGAAGTATTCTGAAGTATAACAAGAGCTTTCTGTTGTTGAAGTCAACAAGGTGATTCAGGAACTATAACAACCTTGCATTAATGTAAATATCCCAGCAACTAATTTGCAACAAAACATAATTTATTTCGTTTACTTAAGGAGCTGAAATCGTTAGCAATTTATAGATACTCCATTCAGACAGCTAAGATAAATCAGCAAATAAAAACACATTTTGTATATTGTATATATTTTTAATCCTTTAGGGGTTTTTTATTTAATAAGTTGCACACAATAAATGTACAAATATATTTATACTTTTTATGATACCTAAAGTTTTAATTAAATATATGTCAACATTTTGGTAAATATTACTAAATTTCAAAAGTGCTTAATTTTTGCTATTAATAATAAAAGCACTGACCTTTTAAAGAATAAAAGGCACAATACCGTGACTGGAACGATACACAAAAAACCTGCACATGGAAGAGAAGAGCTTATGACGTCGTTTCGGTCCGACTTGGACCGAAACGTCGTCGTAAGCTTCTTTCTCCTGTGTGCGGGTTATTTGTGCACTGCCCTTTTATTTTGATATTTAAAATTATTGCAGTACTTGTTTAATGGCAGAGAAGCTTTAAAAATACTATTGTGGGAGCTGACTTAGTGCTACAACACCATCACTGACGAATGAGTACTCAGCCTATCACAGCTGAAACGACTTGAATCCTGGGTAAATCGAGACGTGCGGGCATGTCTCCTGACACCTGTGCCTTTCTCTGAGAAGTAAATAGTTACCTACGAATTAGACGACTGTTGTGGGTCGCATAGTAAAGAGAACCTAAGAACCCCAATGAAAATAAGCCACACCGGCTTTCTTCAGGCTGTACTGGATTATTAACCATGGGTGCTTGTGGCTTGGTTGGTAACGTTCTCAGCTTACTCACTGAGGATCGATCCAGTTACGGGTGAAACTTTGGGCATGTTTCCTTACACCCGCTGCCCCCTGTTTACCTAGGAGTAAGTAGGTACCTGGGTGTTATCATCTTATACCTTCTGCCCCATGTTTACCTAACAGTAAGTAGGTACCTGGGTGTTATCACCTTACACCTACTGCCCCCTGTTTACCTAGCAGTAAGTCCCTGGGTGTTATCACCTTACACCTACCCCCTGTTCACCTAGCAATAAGTAGGTACTTGGCCATTAGTCGACTGTTGTGGGTAGCATCCTGGGAAACAAGATCAACCTAAGTTGCCAGAAATCCTCTACATAACCAGGGACTTTGTATAGTATGCCAGTACGGCTTATGTTTCACTGCAAACACTTGCTCTACACACCCCCTACCCTTCCTAGAGCTTCCTTGTTCATCTGCACTCCTGCTCTCCGCCTACTTTTAATTCTATCGGTAATATCTCTACCATACACCTTACCAGGTATACTCAACAGGCTTATTCCCGTATAATTCTTGCACTTTCTTTTGTCCGTTTTCCTTTTATACAAAGGAACTATGCATGCTCTCTGCCATTCTCTAGGTGCCTTTCCCAATTTCATACATTTACTACGTCCTCACATGCTTGTAACATTTCTGTCTCGATTCCACCAATCCCAGTTACTTTACCCCCTTTCATTCTACCCACTGCCTCACGCACCTCCCCTTTAATCACATCTGGCTTTTCCTCACTCTTAAAAGATGTTATACCTCCTTAGCCAGTCCAGGAAATCACAGCTTCCCTCTTTTCATCAACATTTAACAATTCCTCAAAATATCCCTCCATCAACCTACCACCAACTCCCCCATAGAGACTGTATTCCTTTATTTTTCAACTGTTGTAAATCAAAATATATATGGAACTATCGTTATGCAAGTGTTATGTGTAATAAAATTTGAGACGAACTCGAATATTTTTAAATGAAACTATTTATTAAATATTTAAGAGTTTAAAGAGTCTAGTAACAATCATAGAAAACGAGTAACAAAAATTTCCTCAGAACATTTATTTCTAACTGTATTTTTATCTAAATTGAAAAAAAAAATAAATATTACGTTTCAAATAAATAATATTACCATATATTCAGAATCTTGTTTAAAATTCTAGCTGGGACGAACTAAAAAATGTGAATGAAGTACTGATTGTTATATATTTCATATACAGACTGCTACGTCAACTTATAAAAATGACTACCTCTTAAAATGACTACCAGTCTATCAGTATCCTGTCGGCCAACATAATAGACTTCATTACCAGCGCTGGAGAGCTCATGTTTACCTTTGTGAATACTCGACATCTCAACATGATCGCTGTTGTTGAGACATTTTTGGAAGATAGGACTCCGGACAGTTTTGCTAGAATTGTTGGCTACACCTCATGTATGGCAAGAGACAGGCAAGGACAAGGAGGAGGTGTTGTTGTGTGCTTCTCTCAAAAGTATACATGCCCAGCACATTAATGTTGCCACCCCTACTCACCAAGAAATGTTTAGTCAAGCCATGCATCAACACTAGTACCTCTGTACTAACATGTGCAATGTACAGACCTCAGTGGCAGCATGCAGACCCCATCAACTTCCTGATGGAAAATATGGACTCCCTTCTGCTTCAACACAACTGTCAACATATTATAATTGTCGGCGACCTCAACTAACATCTTCTACAGAGGGATTTTGATGGTCTTCATGCAGTGTATGACATGAGAAACTTTGTTGATTTCCCTACTCACATTTCTGGCTCATCTCTCGACCCAGTAGTGAGTGATCTGTCGGAAGGTATAGTCACTTGCCATCCCTTTGGCTATTTGAATCAGCTGACCACAAGACTGTCTTTGCGACTCTGATTCCAACAGAACGAAGAGAAAAAATTACAAGTACGACCTTATAGTGAAGAAGAGGAAACTGGTCAGTCCTTTGCTCTGAGCTTGCCACCTCCGATTGGAATATTTTTCTCCAAGGTAATGTCGACAGCCAAGTGAATGCCTTCACTAAATACATCCTTAATCTTCGACAAGAACATATCCCTCACAGGTAATATGTGACGAAGCCTATAGATCAACCTTGGTTCGGCTTCGTTGCTACTGCTAAGTACAAGGCTTGGAGAAAGTATAAGAGACATTCCACTACCTTTAACAAGAGCTGCACAGGCAAGTCTGTAGGCAAATGGGAGAAGTCCAAAAATGGGCAATTTCTAAATGAGAGACTAACACAAAAAGAAATCTGGTATCAGGTAGAGTGGGTTCCAAAACCTGGTGATCCTTGGTCAAGGACCGACAAGGTTATTCCACCCCTTAATCGACAGGATGGGACCATCTCTACTAGCAATCAGGAGAAAGCTGACCTCCTTGCCAAACACTTTGCTGCCAAGATGCAAGTTCCTGATCCGGCAAGGGAACTTTCTTGGCTAGCTGCAAGAACTGTCAAAGTTGTCAGTGGTGACAAAAAAGGCAGGATGAGGTATATCTTCTCCTTAAATCGCTGGACCAAGAAAAGACTGTGGGCCCAGATAAGCTGAGCCCAAGATTGCTGAGTAGATGTGCAAACCAGCTACTAGCAGCTCTAACTCGCATTTATCAGCATTGCCTAGCAGTGTAAATGGCCTTCTTTGTGGAGAGAGGGAAATGCAATCCTTGTTCACAAAAAGAAGAGCAGAACAAAAATCAGCAACTACAGACCAGTGTCACTCCTGTCAATCATTGGCAAGATTCTTGAGACAAAAATCTCACGGCAGATGACGAAATTTTTCGGTCACCACTCACCAATCTCACGGCAGATGACGGATTTTTTCGATCACCACAACAGATCAGCGGCAGCGTAACCTGCTGTTGATCTGTTGTTAAACCTTTCCACTAAGCGGCACCAGACACTGAAAGAATCCAAAGTCAGCTGTGTAGTAGCACTGGACATAGCTGGTGCTTTTGACAGAATATGGCACCAAGGACTCTTGGCAAAACCGCAAGCACTAGAAGTTGCAGGCTCTACACTATGTCTCCTCAGTGATTACCTTCAAGGTAGATCTCTAAGCGTAGTTCTCAATGGGACAGAGTCAGTAAGACAACCTATTGGTGCAAGTGTTCCATAGGGAAGTATGCTGGGGCCATTGTTATGGAATGTCTGCTTCACCCAGAACCCCATGTATATGCAGATAACTGTGCTCTGACATTTACTTATCCAAGAGAGGAAATGCCAGATGCTCTAAATTATATCAATCACCAACTTACAGCCATGTCAATCTGGTGTAAATGATGGCAGGTCACATTTGCTCCTGAGAAAACACGAATAATGATGGTCTCATATATACACCATGATGGTAATGCTGGATCAGTAGTAAGACTGAACGGGAGAGCGTTGGTACCCGGGGACGAAACTGATTGCCTTGGGGTGAGATTTGACTCCAAATTAACCATGAAAGAACCACGTTGAAAATCTTGCAAACAAGGCGGCCAGGAATCTTAGAGCACTTCGACGTATCTTGCATTTGCTTCACAGTAGAGGTTGCAGGATTCTGTATGAGGCACAAGTATGCTCACACCTTGAGTATGCTCCATTTTCTTGGATTACCTGCCCCCCATTTCATTTGCGACACTTTGACAGAATAGAGAACAAAGCAAGACGACTCATCTCTCACCTCAACCCATCCTTGACAGATCTGTCATTTCAACAGAGCCTTCAACACAAGAGGGATGTGGACGGCCTTACTGCTCTGTACAAGGCCAATATTGTCGACGTACCACACCTGGCTCCACCCCGAGGACAGCGAGAAGGGAACTTCTACACCACAAGACGGGCAACAAGCAGCAACTTTACTCTGACTGTACCCTTCTCCAGAACATCACTTCATCTGAGATCATTTATTCCCAGGATGACTGGAGTCTGGAACATGTTCCTACAACATAATGATATCAACGAAATAAAGTCATTTGGTTAAATGAAATTGCTGGCCCACAAATGGCTTTAACTTCATTTTGTCCCATATTTGTATGTCTCATAACAATAAAAAGGCTTTCAAATTACCTGATGTAGTTAACAGCTCTTAGCTTGTAAATAAAGATAAGAATTCCTACCCTAACCTTGTAAATCCCTGTCTAAAAAAATGAAAAAGAGAGATAGAGAAAGAGAGAAAAAGAGAGAGAGGAGAAACAGCGCTCCTGGCTGCCCCAAAACCGGTCAAGAGTTGCTTGGAACGGGATCCATGTATGTACATCTTTGTGTTGGATGCGCACGAACACATCTCACCATTTGTATGTACGTCAGTGTGTGTGTGTGTGTGTGTGTGTGTACTCACGTCACCTATTTGTGGTTGCAAAGGGTTGAGTGTGTGTGTGTGTGTGTGTGTTTGTATTCACCTATTTGTAGATACAGGGGTTGACTATCAGCTCCTGGTCCCATCTCTCCGCAGGCCGCTATTAGGTTCTCTCTTTTCTGGCTTTCTGAGCACTAGCATACCTATTCATACAGCAGTGTTCAGATCCTCCTACGATTTTTATTAAGTTCATTCTATTTCGCGATTCATCCGAAGCTGAAGAAATACTTCCTAATATCCCTATGACTCATCTATGTTTTCTTAACGTGTAACTGTGCCCTTGTGTACAAGTTTCCGCTTCTCAACCAGCACTGCCTTGTCCATCCTATCATTTCCTATGAGTATTTTTTCGTCTTTATCATGTCTCTCCTGTCCTCTAATGTTATCAGGTTTAGCTTCTTTAGTCTCTCACAGCTCATTGCCCACGACTTACATTAACCATCCAGTGTGGGTTCCATGGTGGTTCTGCACCCTCCAGGAGGGGTCTGTGACTTATGCTTTATATAGTGTCGTAAGCGGCTTTTGCTGATATTCCTAAAAGCTGATCTTAGAGTTTTACTAAATGTGCATGTTCTGCAGAGGTTATTCGGTTGATGCGACCTTCAGGTGATACACTCAGCACTATGCTCACCCCTAAGACTGTCACCTTGAGTGAGGTTTGTAGCTCTTGTTTACTTGTCACTTGGTTTCCGTCCTGTTAGGTTGCTCCTTCATGTTCTGTAATGCTTTCAATATTAGTCTCAAACTTTTATGCTTTACTGTGTTGAATGTTTTATTACAGTCCAGGAATTTACAGTCCACATACCTTTCTCTCTCTCTCTCTCTACTGTCCTCTCTGTCTGTCTGTCTATCTATCTGTCTGTCTGTCTGTCTGTCTCTCTCTCTCTGTCTCTCAATATATATATATATATATATATATATATATATATATATATATATATATATATATATATATATATATATATATATATATATATATACATGAGCGTGCGCACGCGTTTTCGTATGTGTGTGTGTGTGTGTGTACTCACCTATTTGTGGTTGCAGGGGTCGAGACTCAGCTCCTGGCCCCGCCTCTTCACTGACCACTACTGGGTCCCTCTCTCCCTGTTCCATGAGCTTTATCATACCTCGTCTTAAAACTATGTATGGTTCCTGCCTCCACTACATCACTTGCCAGTCTATTCCACTTCCTGACAACTCTATGGCTGAAGAAATACTTCCTAACATCCCTCTGACTCGCCTGAGTCTTCAGCTTCCAATTGTAACCCCCCCTGTTTCTGTGTCCCATCTCTGGAACATCGTGTCCTGTGTGTGTGTGTGTGTGTGTGTCTGTGTTGTGTGTGTGTGTGTAAGTGTGTATTCAATGAGAACTGTTTGCCTCTTGTCTTAACTTTAAAAACTGGCCGCCATGTACTGATTCTTATGACACTGGGCATTAACTAATTAACTCTTGAATCTGTGTATTGAGTTAGCTACCACCACCACCTCAACCAGCTCATTCAACTCGCTTACCACCCTAAGGCTGAGAAAGTATTTCCTAACATTTCTATGGCTTATCTCTATTCTTACCTCCCATCTCTGCCTTGTCAAGCCCGTGTCCCTCGTTTGTAAGAGTCTACTTCAGTTATCTCCTTGCCTCTGTGTATCTCGTACATCGTAATCATGTCTTCCTTGGTTCTTCACTCTTTCAAGATTGCTAGATTTACCTCTTCAAGCCTTTCCTCAGCGTTTAAACCTCTCGGTTCTGGAACCAGGTTAAGTGCAAACCTTTGTACTTTCTCTAGCCTCTAAACATGCTTTCTCAGGGTCACGCCATACCGATGCTGCGGGCTAAGGCAGGTCTTATGCACTTCGGGTACAATGTACATCCTGAAGGAGAATTTACTGTGGTTTTCGAAAACAATTCTAAGATGTGCACTTTTCACGTCATGGGACTTTTATTTATCTGTGGCTGTAAGTTCGGTGAAATAATTACTCCTAGGTCCTTCTTGTTTTTACAATTTATTTTTAATTCTCTCCTTCCAGCTGACACTTTTTGTGTTCCTTCACTCTCTCCGATGTGTGCGTGTGCGTGTGTGCGTGTGTGCGTGTGTGTGCGTGTGTGTGTGTGTGTGTGTGTGTGTGTGTGTGTGTGTGTGTGTGTGTGTGTGTGTGTGTGAGGGTGATGACCGCTGGCTGGTGGGGAGATGTTTAGTTAGTGTGGCTCCAACCTTTGTGCTCGACACCTGCTTTCTTGTGCACCTGGCGGCGCCTCACCTGGGTATTAAGCACACCTGGGCATTGACACTGCCTCACACACCTTCCAGCTCCAGGTATGTATGACACAAGTGAATTTAATAATCCCATTCCAGTGTTCTAAGCTGTATCTCATATGAGTGCACAGAATATTTTCCGTGTAATCACTGGGTAATTACTTTCCTCTGTAGTTAACAGCCTCGTTAATTACCATAGATTTGGATTTAAATTAGTTACTGTGTTTTTTTTCTTTTTTTTTTTAGGTAAATAAGCGATATTTGTTGATGTTTTAATTGTCTTTGCCTTTTCTTATTGTTATACTGCAATGGATTTGTTATAAAAGAACATAATTTTCTAGATAATGAAGCACCTTGAAGGAAGGTGCCTTGATGACAGCTTCTGATCCAAGGAAAAGAACTTTTTCCTTTCCTTGGATCGACCCTCATTGCCACTCATTGCTATCCATTGCTACCCATTGCCACTCATTGCTACCCATTGCCACTCATTGCTACCCATTGCCACTCATTGCTACCTATTGCCCAAGCGCTGTATAGCCCCAACGGGGTTAGCACTTCCCACCTGGCTGTAATAACAATAATAATACTTGTGAGTGGCCACGAATTTTCAGTGAGTGACTTAAGAATTTTTATGGCGACGGATGATGATTTTTGTAGTTAGTGATTTTGTGGTTAGTGACAGTGATTTTGTGGTTAGTAACAGTGATTTTGTTTGTAGTTAGTGATTTTGTGGTTAGTGACAGTGATTTTATGGTTAGTGACTGATTTTGTGGTTAGTGACAGTGATTTTGTGGTTAGTGACAGTGATTTTGTGGTTAGTGACAGTGATTTTGTGGTTAGTGACAGTGATTTTGTGGTTAGTAACTGATTTTATGGTTAGTGACAGTGATTTTGTGGTTAGTAACAGTGATTTTATGGTTAGTGACTGATTTTATGGTTAGTGACAGTGATTTTGTGGTTAGTGACAGTGATTTTGTGGTTAGTGACAGTGATTTTGTGGTTAGTGACAGTGATTTTATGGTTAGTGACTGATTTTGTGGTTAGTGACAGTGATTTTGTGGTTAGTGACAGTGATTTTGTGGTTAGTGACAGTGATTTTGTGGTTAGTAACAGTGATTTTGTGGTTAGTGACTGATTTTATGGTTAGTGACAGTGATTTTGTGGTTAGTAACAGTGATTTTATGGTTAGTGACTGATTTTATGGTTAGTGACAGTGATTTTGTGGTTAGTGACAGTGATTTTGTGGTTAGTGACAGTGATTTTGTGGTTAGTGACAGTGATTTTGTGGTTAGTGACAGTGATTTTGTGGCTAGTGACAGTGATTTTGTGGTTAGTGACAGTGATTTTGTGGCTAGTGACAGTGATTTTGTGGTTAGCGACAGTGATTTTGTGGTTAGTGACAGTGATTTTGTGGTTAGTGATTTTGTGGTTAGTGACAGTGATTTTGTGGTTAGTGATTTTGTGGTTAGTGACAATGATTTTGTGGTTAGTGACAGTGATTTTGTGGTTAGTGATTTTGTGGTTAGTGACAGTGATTTTGTGGTTAGTGATTTTGTGGTTAGTGACAGTGATTTTGTGGTTAGTGATTTTGTGGTTAGTGACAATGATTTTGTGGTTAGTGATTTTGTGGTTAGTGACAATGATTTTGTGGTTAGTGACAGTGATTTTGTGGTTAGTGATTTTGTGGTTAGTGACAGTGATTTTGTGGTTAGTGATTTTGTGGTTAGTGACAATGATTTTGTGGTTAGTGATTTTGTGGTTAGTGACAATGATTTTGTGGTTAGTGACAGTGATTTTGTGGTTAGTGATTTTGTGGTTAGTGACAGTGATTTTGTGGTTAGTGACAGTGATTTTGTGGTTAGTGATTTTGTGGTTAGTGACAGTGATTTTGTGGTTAGTGATTTTGTGGTTAGTGACAGTGATTTTGTGGTTAGTGACAGTGATTTTGTGGTTAGTGACAGTGATTTTGTGGCTAGTGAGTGATTTTGTGGCTAGTGACAGTGATTTTGTGGTTAGCGACAGTGATTTTGTGGTTAGTAACAGTGATTTTGTGGTTAGCGACAGTGATTTTGTGGTTAGTGACAGTGATTTTGTGGTTAGTAACAGTGATTTTGTGGTTAGTGATTTTGTGGTTAGTGACAGTGATTTTGTGGTTAGTGACAGTGATTTTGTGGTTAGTGACAGTGATTTTGTGGTTAGTGACTTTGTGGTTAGTGACAGTGATTTTGTGGTTAGTGATTTTGTGGTTAGTGACAGTGATTTTGTGGTTAGTGATTTTGTGGTTAGTGACAGTGATTTTGTGGTTAGTGATTTTGTGGTTAGTGACAATGATTTTGTGGTTAGTGACAGTGATTTGTGGTTAGGTTTTGTGGTAGTGACAGTGATTTTGTGGTTAGTGACAGTGATTTTGTGGTTAGTGACAATGATTTTGTGGTTAGTGACAGTGATTTTGTGGTTAGTGATTTTGTGGTTAGTGACAGTGATTTTGTGGTTAGTAACAGTGATTTTGTGGTTAGTGATTTTGTGGTTAGTGACAGTGATTTTGTGGTTAGTGACAGTGATTTTGTGGTTAGTGACAGTGATTTTGTGGTTAGTGATTTTGTGGTTAGTGACAGTGATTTTGTGGTTAGTGATTTTGTGGTTAGTGACAGTGATTTTGTGGTTAGTGATTTTGTGGTTAGTGACAGTGATTTTGTGGTTAGTGATTTTGTGGTTAGTGACAATGATTTTGTGGTTAGTGACAGTGATTTTGTGGTTAGTGATTTTGTGGTTAGTGACAGTGATTTTGTGGTTAGTGACAGTGATTTTGTGGTTAGTGATTTTGTGGTTAGTGACAGTGATTTTGTGGTTAGTGACAGTGATTTTGTGGTTAGTGACAATGATTTTGTGGTTAGTGACAGTGATTTTGTAGTTAGTGATTTTGTGGTTAGTGACAGTGATTTTGTGGTTAGTGACAGTGATTTTGTGGTTAGTGACGGTAGCTTTTTGGCTACCGTCAATGATTGTGTAGTATGTGAGTACCTGGTGGCGGCCGAAGAAATGTTGTGACGAGTGAGCAATATTTTGCGCACTTCTTTTACAGTATTGATCTCATGTTCAGAGTTGAGGCAGCCGAGTTGATGTGTTATATTCCAGTGACTCGATGGGTATTTATGAAATAAGTCACCCATTATTGTTGACGTAAAGAAGGTTATGGTTTGAGCGAGGGGTGTCCCGGTACACACACACACACACACACACACACACACACACACACACACACACTACAATTAAAGTCATAAGCGTGGTTAAAAGACAGTGTATGGAAAACAGTGTATGGAAAACAGTGTAGGCAAGACAGTGTAGGCAAGACAGTGTAGGCAAGACAGTGTAGGCAAGACAGTGTAGGCAAGACAGTGTAGGCAAGACAGTGTAGGCAAGACAGTGTAGGCAAGACAGTGTAGGCAAGACAGTGTAGGCAAGACAGTGTAGGCAAGACAGTGTAGGCAAGACAGTAGGAGGATTGTCAATATTACTAAAAACAAAGAAAAACAACATAAGCTGTAATACAGTTCAGGAATAACACTGAAGCTCTTATTGGCAAAAATCTAAAATAAAGATCAGAAATATATTATGATGAAAACAAGAAACCCGCAGTAGGAAAGTGCTTAAGAGAGAGAGAAGAATCTGACAAGTTAAATGAAAGATTAATTATTGTACTAAAGAAACTTATGCGATTTTTAGCATGGGGGAATATAATGGAGTGAGACGAGTGAGAGAAGCCAACACACTGTCAACACTAGATCCAACATTTATTAGAACGGAAGAAGAGATTGCATCATAAATCGTGTAAATCCACTTGAAGAGAGTGGTCATTTTATTGTGAGATCATGAGCTGGTAAATGTGCCGGACGACGTGAAAATGATACAGACCAAAAAGGCTGGAAGTCACTTGCCATGCGTCCAGTCGTCCACCCGTGCTGTGATTTGCTGGCAACCGTCTTATTGCTGTGTTGAGTGAGCAACACTAGAAATGTAAATGTAATACTGTAAGACAATATTAAGGAAAGATAGAATAGAATATCAGAAGGTAAATAAATAAATGCTTTGTATATATATATATATATATATAATATAATATATATATATATATATATATATATATGTATGTATTATATATATATATATATATATATATATATATATATATATATATATATTATATATATATATACACACTGATCTCTGGATGAAGGAGACTCAAACCTACGAACCTTAGAACAAGGTACGCAGTGCTATACCAATCTACCCACACTGGACAATACCTTGGCGTGCAGCTTGCGCTACACGTTGATCCAAGGCAGCCAGCTTTCAGGGCTTACAGCTTTTCATCTCCTCCCCTGCATGCATCAGCCTTACTAGAGATTTAAACAATGCAAGGAATTCGCAAGAGCAGGCGAAATATACACAAACACTGATCTCTGGCTGAAGCAGGTTCGAGTCTCCTTCGGCCAGAGATCAGTGTTTGTGTATATTTCGCCTGCTCTTGCGAATTCCTTGCATATATAATATATATATATATATATATATATATATATATATATATATATATATATATATATATATATATATTATTATTTATTTATTTATTTATTTATTTTGTGTGTATCTCAATGAAGCCACGAAACAAGTAGTTTTGAATTATTTACCAAATTGCGGCAGGCCAGGGTTCGACCCCACGGCACATTGTCCCACCTCAAGAGACAACATAATGTACATGTCACCTAATCCACTCAGCCATCGATCCTACAAAGATCACGCACCCAGCAGAGCTAAGTGTTTTTCGTGATCTGAGGACACTTGTGGCAGTGGTATGCTCAAGCATTAATTTCAGCCTCCTCTTGTTTGAATACCCGCTTCCACGGGTATTCAAACAGGAAATTAGGAGGAGGTGCGGGATTACCAAAACAATTATCCACAGGGCTGAGGAGGGGTTGTTGAGGTGATTCGGCTATATAGAGAGGATGGGACGAAATAGAATGACTTTAATAGTGTATAAATCTGTAGTGGAGGGAAGGCGGGGTAGGGGTCGGCCTATGAAAGGTTGGAGGGAGTGGGCAAAGGAGGTTTTGTGTTCGAGGGGCTTGGACTTCCAGCAAGCGTGCGTGTGTTAGATAGAAGCGAATGGAGACAAATATTTTTTTAGGACTTGACGTGCTGTTGGAGTGTAAACAAGGTAACATTAATGAAGGGATTCAGGTCAACCGGCAGACCAGAATTGAGTTTTAGAGATGGGAAGTACTGTGTCTACACTCTGAAGACGGTCAGTGAGCTAAAGGTCACTAGGTCAGTGAGTTTAAGGTCACTAGGTCAGTGAGCTTTAGCTGGTGGGAGAATTGGACTTGGCTTGCATAGGCCAGTAGGCCTGTTGCAGTGTTCCTTCTTTCTATGCGCCGTATCATCCTTTGTGGATGATACTAGGATCTGCATGAGGCTGAGGATCTGCTGAGGACGCGGTTAACCTTCAAGAAGATATAAACAAAGTTTTCCAGTGGGCAACGGTAAACAATATGATGTTCAATGAGGACAAATTCCAACTATTCCGTTAAGGAAAACTGGAGGAGATAATAACTAAAACAGAGTATACTACAGACTCTGGCCATACAACAGAGTGGAAAAATAATGTAAGGGACCTGGGAGTAGTAATGTCTGAGGATCTCACTTTCAAGGATCACAACAGTGCCAAGATCGCACGTGCCAAGAAAATGATAGGATGGATAATGAGAACGTTCAAAACGAGAGATGCCAAGCCAATGATGATCCTTTTCAAATCACTTGTTCTCTCTAGGCTGGAATACTGCTGTACATTAACATCTCCATTCAAAGCCGGTGAAATCGCAGATCTAGAGAGTGTACAGAGATCCTTTACTGCACGTATAAGTTCTGTCAAGCACCTTAACTACTGGGAACGCTTGGAAGCACTTGACTTGTACTCGTTGGAACACAGGAGGAAGAGATATATCATAATCTACACTTGGAAAATCCTGGAAGGAATGGTCCCATATCTACACACAGAAATCACTCCCTACGAAAGTAAAAGACTGGGCAGGCGATGCAAAATGCCCTCAATTAAAAGTAGGGGCGCCATTGGTACACTAAGGGAAAACACCATAAGTGTCCAGGGCCCAAGACTGTTCAACAGCCTCCCATCAAGCATTAGGGGAATTGCCAATAAACCCCTGGCTGCCTTCAAGAGAGAGCTGGACAGATACCTAAAGTCAGTGCCGGATCAGCCGGGCTGTGGCTCGTACGTTGGACTGCGTGGGGCCATCAGTAACAGCCTAGTTGATCAGGCCCTGATCCATCGGGAGGCCTGGTCATGGACCGGGCCGCGGGGGCGTTGATCCCCGGAATAATCTCCAGGCAACCAGGTATGAAGGAGGGGTGTTAATGTTTTAGTTTTATAATTATAGTGTAAACGCGCCTCTGAATGATGAAAGATTTTCTTTTTCTGACCACCCTGCCATGGTGGGAAACGGCCGATGTGTTATATATATATATAAATAAAGAGAAGCCTTGCTACAGCTGGATGCCCAGCCGAGAAAGAGCCCCGATCACTAGCAGCCAACAATACCTGTGTGTCGACGCTGGCTGACACCTACATCAATAACAGTGTCAGGCGACAAGGAGAAGCTGCTGACCACAGGGAGGAGTACAAGATCACAAAATACAGAGACATAAGCCAAACAGTATCAATTTGTCCCAGTGGGATCAGAGACCTTGGGATCATGGGGAAAATGCCACACGTTTCCTTAAAGAATTGGGTTCCAGACTCATCGACACCACCAGGGATCCAAGGGCAGCCACTTTCATGTTCCAGCGCCTCAGCATGGCCATCCAGAGGGGAAGCTGGCTCTCGTCCGGCTTCAGAGGAGCTGGAGGAAATTCATAATCTTTGATACATTGTACCATTGTATTCATGTTTGTGTTTTTTTCAGTGTATTATGTCTATTAATAAAATTTCCCATAGAATATAAAATATAGGGGGTGGTAGAATAAAATATTCAAACAGCTCCGGGGAGAACCTTGAGTTTTCCCTGAGGTACGTTTATTGTCTTCTCTGAGGATGAGGGTCGCCAGTCCAGTTATAGAGGTGGTACCTCCCTATATATATATATATAATATATATATATATTTAATATATATATATATATATATATATATGCAAAACAACCTCTGTGAAAAAATAAATGAAATCCCAAGCGCTTTCTTAACTACTCACATTATCAAGGAACATCATTGTTCCTTGATAATGTGAGTAGTCACGCATGCGCTTGGAATTTCATTATTCTTTCACAGTGGTTGTTTTGCATATTCTGAAATCACCTGTTTACTGTGATCTTATTGCATATATATATATATATATATTATATATATTATATATTATAATATTATATATATATATATATATATATATATTATATATATATATTGCAGTTTAAAAACTGTAGTGTAAAGCACCCTTCTGGCAAGACAGTGATGGAGTGAATGATGGTGAAAGTTTTTTCTTTTTCGGGCCACCCTGCCTTGGTGGGAATCGGCCAGTGTGATAATAAAAAATAATAATAATAATATACATTATATATACATACAAACATATTTGCAGAGTAATACGGTCTGGTGAAGATGGCATATCGCTGTACTCTTCTCCTCATACTGGCTGGAATATTGGCTTCCCTGGTGCCTCTAACTGGCTCCGAGATTTACAGCTGCTTCAGGGAGGAGGTGCCCGAAGTGCCTGATCCTGAGTTCTCCAAGGGCGTGACCAAGTTCGGCCTGAATCTCTTCAAGCAGGTGATAAGGGCTCAGGAACAGGAAGGTAGGGTAGGGGAGAACACAGTAATGTCGCCCTACAGTGTGTGGAGCGCCCTCTGTCTCGCGTTCTTTGGTGCTGAGGGCCAGACCAAGACCCAGTTGGCTCGAGCTCTCCGCCTCACCACCAAGATTTCCACCTTCAACCATTGGAGATTCCTCAACCGAATGCGAGTACCCAACATCTGCTGGAAACAAAAATCTAACATTGTATGATGAATATACTGAGTATGTTAGGGTCATATAATCTGGAAATATACTTGCGTTAAAATGTAAATTGGTTGTATATGATATCAATCCAGAGATCTCTAACGTCGACAGGTTATCATCCGATGGAGCTGTGACCACGATGGAAACTTTTGGCGGCAGAATCAACAGTAAGATCAGTAATGGAAGATTGAACAGCAAAATAAGAAGCAGGAGTAGCGGCGCAAAGTCGATTTTCCAGAGCACCAACAAGGCTTACTTCTCTCATAACATGACTCTGAACCCATGCCTTTCGGCCTCCCTCGTGGAGCTCTCCCATCTCGATTTCTCGAGGCCCGTCACTGCAGCGCTGAAGATCAACATGGACGTGAGAGAGGCCACCATGGGCGAGATAGACAACCTGGTGGAACCCCAAGATCTCCTTGACGTCAAATTTGTTCTACTAAATGCAGTATTTTTCCGCGGTACCTGGAAAACCCAGTTTCCCTTGGAAAACACGGCTCCCAGGATGTTCCACCCCACCCCAGTCCTCTCGCTGGGGCCAGTACCCATGATGACTACCCTCGGCAGCTTTAAATACGGTGAGTTGCTTTCTTGAAGCGCCTTGTGACAAAATTCCATTCTTACTGAGTAAAAAAAAAACAAGGCGAATGTGTTTGTCGCTAATTTTAAATTCATTTGAATTCAGTTGACATTTTACATAACAAACAACTTAGTAGATTATTTACTGGATAAATTATCGATTATTACAAACAATGTATACATTTCTTCCAGAGCACTTTAAGGTGGGTTTGTTATTGATGTATAATACTGAACACTTTCCAAAGTGCACTGAAAGGTGGGTGTGTTAAACAGGTAGTCTTTGTTATTACTTATCACACATAGTTTTTCTTTACATTTAAAGCAGCATTCAGCAAGAGATGTTTCTATGTTGGTAATACGTGACGAGGATCAGTAAACAGTGAGTCACAGGACATAAGCAGAGTAACCTTCCATTCAGCCACCATCACAGCATCACCACATCTACAACTACACCATCCACGCCGATGCGGCTGGAAACATTAGGACGTGTTTCCTTAAGACACCTGCTGTCCATGTTCACCTGTCAGTAAAACAGGTACCTGGGTGTTAGTCGACTGGTGTGGGTCGCATCCTAAGGACAATATTGACCTAATTTGCTCGAAATGCTCTGCATAACAAGGTGCTTTCTGTATAGCAGTCTGTCATTGATGTCAGCTAAGACTATATACCTTGCACATGTACTTGTAGAAATAATGATTATTATTATTATTATTAACCACATTCACCACTAGCACGTCCAGTTATCCCCCTCACCACTAGCACGTCCAGTTATCCCCCTCACCACTAGCACGTCCAGTTATCCCCCTCACCACTAGCACGTCCAGTTATCCCCCTCACCACTGCCCCCCCCCCACACTACCAAATCACTCGCCTCCACAAAATAAAATATTGCATTTTAACGTTATAGAAAACCCGATTCTCTCACATGAGACCAGAAGAGAAACTTAGCTATCTCCAAGATCTGGAAAACGTGTTTTTCTTTGCTTTATAAAACCCTGGAAAACACTCCTCTGGCAAACTTTCATGTTGACAGCACTTTCTGTCACCAGTATCACAGGAATGCTCTAAGTACACCTTAAAATTATAAACACTGGAACTTAAAACCCTTTCCTGTGCTACAATATATAGGTGAATCCACTCTACTGCGCTCAGACACTTCCCCGTCCTTACTCTTAGTTTTCACCGTCATACTAATAAAAACACTCAGAGAGAGAGAGAGAGAAAGAGCCAGTGAGCACCCTGACACAAACCAGCTTTCACCTTTTTTCCCCGTAGCGTATCGCACTCCGCTAGAGGCCTCGTTGCTGGAGCTACCGTATGAGACGGGATTCTCACTGCTAGTGCTACTGCAGCGGGAGGCGGTGTCAGAGATTGTGCTAAGAGAATCCCTCTAGCAGAGAGACTTGTAGGAGAAAAGGAACCTCATGACGGAGGTATATAGAGTACCACAAAGTTTTACATGACACCTCCATCATGACCTTCCAAGAAGGTTATGTCTCACCATCAGTAATATATGGTGCAGATATGTAAGTAGAATTTCATCACTGTGCAGACTGAAATCCCTCGCCTCTACTTGAAAGGCAGGTGAGTCATTGTTTGCAGGTGAGATTTTAGTTAGAAAGGACAAACCCGAGGTCCCTTGTCATCAGGGGCAGACCAAGGTCCCTGTCATCAAAGACCACAAGTACCTTGTCATCAGGGGCAAGACCAAGTTACCTTGCTTCATCAGGGCAAGACACAAGGTACCTGTCATCGGGTAAGACACAGTACCTTGTCATCAGGGCAAGACACAAGACCTTGTCATGAGGGGCAGAACAAGGTACTTGTCATCAGGCCAAGACACAGGAACTTGTCATCAGGGAAGACACAAGGTACTTGATGAGGCAAGACACAAGGTACTTGTCATAGGCAAACCACGTGTACCTGTCATCAGGACAAACACAGGGTACCTTGTCACAGTGGCTAGACACAAGGTACCCTTTCAAGGCGTCCAAGGTACCTTGTCATCAGGGCTAAAACAAGGTACCTTGTCATCAGGGGCAAGAGACAAGGTACTTGTCATCAGGCAAGCACAGTACCTTGTACTCAGGGCAAACCAAGGTTTCACTTGTCCACGTAAGACCAGGTACCTTGTCATCCGGGGTAAGACATCAAGGTACTTGTCATCAGGCAAGACACAAGTACCTTGTCATGAGGGCAAGACCACCAGTGTACCTTGCATCAGGGGGCAAGACACAGGCTTGTCATCAGGGCAAGACACAAGGTACTTGTCATGGGGCAAGAAACAAGGTACCTTGTATCAAGGAGCAGCACAGGGAACCTGTCATCAGGACAGACAGGTACTGTCATCAGGGCAAGACACAGGACTTCCAAAGCTTACAGACCTGACGCAACCACAAGACCTTGTCATCAGGAAGAAAAGGTATTGTTTTCATAAAACAATATATTGTCATAGGGACAAGAGCAAATACTTTCACTGTGGGCATAGAAAATACCTCATGTTTATCATGGAAAGACACAAGGTACATTGTTCAGGGGGAAAGGTACCTTGTCATAGGCAAACACAAGGTCCTTGTATCAGGGCAAGACACAGGGTACCTTGTCATCAGGGGCAAGACACAGGGTACCTTGTCATCAGGGGCAAGACACAAGGTACCTTGTCATCAAGAGCGTCACAAGGTACCTTGTCATCAGGGGCAAGACACAAGGTACCTTGTCATCAGGGGCAAGACACAAGGTACCTTGTCATCAGGGGCAAGACACAGGGTACCTTGTCATCAGGGGCAAGATACAAGGAACCTTGTCATCAGGGGCAAGACACAAGGTACCTTGTCATCAGGGGCAAGACACAGGGTACCTTGTCATCAGGGGCAAGACACAGGGTACCTTGTCATCAGGGGCAAGACACAGGGTACCTTGTCATCAGGGGCAAGACACAGGTACCTTGTCCATCAGGGGCAAGACACAGGGTACCTTGTCATCAGGGGCAAGACACAAGGTACCTTGTCATCAGGGGCAAGACACAAGGGTACCTTGTCATCAGAGGCAAGACACAGGGTACCTTGTCATCAGGGGCAAGACACAGGGTACCTTGTCATCAGGGACAAGACACAGGGTACCTTGTCATCAGGGGCAAGACACAAGGTACCTTGTCATCAGGGGCAAGACACAAGGTACCTTGTCATCAGGGGCAAGACACAAGGTACCTTGTCATCAGGGGCAAGACACAGGGTACCTTGTCATCAGGGGCAAGACACAGGGTACCTTGTCATCAGGGGCAAGACACAGGGTACCTTGTCATCAGGGGCAAGACACAGGGTACCTTGTCATCAGGGGCAAGACACAGGGTACCTTGTCATCAGGGGCAAGACACAGGGTACCTTGTCATCAGGGGCAAGACACAGGTACCTTGTCATCAGGGGCAGACACAGGGTACCTTGTCATCAGGGGCAAGACACAGGGTACCTTGTCATCAGGGGCAAGACACAAGGTACCTTGTCATCAGGGGCAAGACACAAGGTACCTTGTCATCAGGGGCAAGACACAGGGTACCTTGTCATCAGGGGCAAGACACAGGTGCTTGCTCAGAGGTACCAGGTACCTTGTCATCAGGGGCAAGACACAGGGTACCTTGTCATCAGGGGCAAGACACAAGGTACCTTGTCATCAAGAGCGTCACAAGGTACCTTGTCATCAGGGGCAAGACACAAGGTACCTTGTCATCAAGAGCGTCACAAGGTACCTTGTCATCAGGGGCAAGACACAAGGTACCTTGTCATCAAGAGCGTCACAAGGTACCTTGTCATCAGGGGCAAGACACAAGGTACCTTGTCATCAGGGGCAAGACACAAGGTACCTTGTCATCAGGGGCAAGACACAAGGTACCTTGTCATGAGGGGCAAGACACAAGGTACCTTGTCATCAGGGGCAAGACACAAGGTACCTTGTCATCAAGAGCGTCACAAGGTACCTTGTCATCTTGTGTCTTACTCTGTCTTGAACTTTCCAGGAACTGAAGAAAGTTAACATGGCACTAACAGCAGTCTTGCCTACTACAGACATGTGAAATTTCCAGGAAAAGCCCGAAGTGGCTTTAATACCTAGTATTTTGATGGAGAATTAAGGATGAAGATAAGAATTAGCAAATCATTGCTAATAAACAAAAGAAGATGGCTTTAATATGATAGGCACAAATAACTGAAATTTCAAAAATTCAGGATGGCCAGTTTGCAAGAGTTCTAAATGAAAATGAAATGAGATAGGAGGAATTTGAACTTCAGAGTTCGAGTCAGCGAGAAACTCAGAGTTTGTGGTATGGTAACCGTACCATGGTCAGGAAAACGCGGTGCACAGCAGTCGTGACGCGATGCTCAGCAGTCGGAACGCACTACAAAGTAGTCGTCGCGTTCTACAAAATAGTCGTGACGTTACAATAGCAGCCTTGACATACTGCACAGGTAGTTGTGACGGACTGCAAAGGTAGTTGTGACGTACTACAGATAGTTGTCGTAGTGGAGGTAAACAACGCATTATCTTTCAAGTGATCGAGTAGAAGAGTATACAGATAACCCGCACATAGAAGAGAGGAGCTTACGACGACATTTCGGTCCGACTTGAACCATTTACAAAGTCACGCTAACGAAAAGGAGAGAAAGAGGGAGTATATATAGACCAGAAGGTGGTGGTAGTAGTGGAGGTAGAAGGTAGTAGTGGGGGAGGTAGTAATAGTAGAGGAGGAACCAGTCAAATAATAAGAAAGAGGAGCACTGCAAGGGAGTTAGGGGCCCACAGAGGGTAGGAGCAAGAACACAGAATGGGGAGGGGAGAATAATGAAGGAACAAATACCCAAGGCAGGAGAAAGACAACAAAAAGGAGAAAGAGGAAAGGGGAAGAGGGAGAAGAAGAAAAAGGAATCAGGTTAAGTCACGGGTGTTCTGAAGTTTGGATCATTTTACAATGTAGTGGGAAAGGAAGGCATCTACAGAGACGAAGCCAGGACTAAGATTCATACAAGGAAAGTTGTGTATAAGGGAGGATTCAACCAGAGGACGACTGTTAAAGTTAGACGTAGTGTAGAGAGTGTTTACAGAAGACAGTCAATAGGATGACTGTGATCTCTGACATGACAGAAAAGAGCATTTTTGGTGTTGGCAAGCCTAACACTACTTTTGTGCTCTCTAAGTCTGTCAGAAAGAGATCGACCAGTTTCTCCAAAGTACTGTAGAGGACAGGAGGAACAAGAAATAGAGTAGACAAGAGGACCATCTATAAAGGGAGGAGAGGTATGAACTAGATAAGTGCGAATAGTGTTAGTCTAAGGAACGGAGAGAGTTGCTGAGATTAGAAAGACCGGAAATATAGGGAAGGCAGAGGACAGAAGAGTTCCCAGGAGTAGAGAGTTTGGGAGAGAAGAAATTACGTTTAGCACGTGAGAAGGCAGAGTCTATGAAATGGGAAGGGTAGCCAAGACGGGAAAATGAATTATGAAGAGTAGAAATCTCTGATTCGAGGAACTGAGGACCACAGATGCGGAGAACACGGAGAAAGAGGGAGATAAGAACACTTTTCATGACAGAGGAAGCATGATAAGAAAAGTAGTGAATGTACATGCCACTGTGCATAGGTTTACGGTAAACGGAAAAGGTAAAGCCTGTATCTGAGCGGTGGACATGAACATCAAGGAAAGGAAGCAAGGAATTAGATTTCCATTCAGCTTTAAACTTAATGGAAGGGGCAAAATTATTAAGAGCTTCAAGAAAAGGTTGGAAGAGACTGGAGTCATGAGGCCACAGAGCAAAGATGTCATCCACATAGTGAAGCCAGAGTGAAGGGCGCACATCAACAGTTGGAAGAAGAAGTCTCGAAGTATTCCATGTAAAGATTAGCAAGAACAGGAGAGAGAGAGAAGAGTCCATAGCCACACAGAGGAATTGAGAATAATATTTTCCTTGGAAGGAAAAGGAATTTGAGTAGAGATGTGAATAAAAACTTTATCATCAAAACGATTAATAATATTCACAAAAAAAACTGAAAAAACCCATAACTGTAACCAACAACCCATAACTGTAACCAACAACCCATAACTGTAACCAACAACCCATAACTGTAACCAACAACCCATAACTGTAACCAACAACCCATAACTGTAACAACAACCATAAACTGAAACCAACAACCCATAACTGTAAAAACAACCCATAACTGTAAACCAACAACCATAACTGTAACCAACAACCCATAACTGTAACCAACAACCCATACTGTAACCAACAACCCATAACTGTAACCAACAACCTAACTGTAACCAACAACCATAACTGTAAAACAACCCAAAACTGTAAACAACAAACCAACATAGTAACAACAACCCATAACTGTAACCAACAACCCATAACTGTAACCAGAACCCATAACTGTAAAAAAACCATAACTGTAACCAACAACCCATAACTGTAACCAACAACCCATAACTGTAACCAACAACCCATAACTGTAACCAGCAACCCATAACTGTAAACCAACAACCCATAACTGTAACCAACAACCCATAACTGTAACCAGCAACCCCATAACTGTAACCAACAACCCATAACTGTAACCAACAACCCATAACTGTAACAACAACCCATAACTGTAACCAGCAACCCATAACTGTAACCAACAACCCATAACTGTAACCAACAACCATAACTGTAACCAACAACCCATAACTGTAACCAACAACCCATAACTGTAACCAACAACCCATAACTGTAACCAACAACCCATAACTGTAACCAACAACCATAACTGTAACCAACAACCCATAACTGTAACCAACAACCCATAACTGTAACCAACAACCCATAACTGTAACCAACAACCCATAACTGTAACCAACAACCCATAACTGTAACCAACAACCCATAACTGTAACCAACAACCCATAACTGTAACCAACAACCCATAACTGTAACCAACAACTATAACTGTAACCAACAACCCATAACTGTAAACCAACAACTAATAACTGTAACCAACAACCCATAACTAACCAACAACCCATAACTGTAACCAACAACCCATAACTGTAACCAACAACCCATAACTGTAACCAACAACCCATAACTGTAACCAACAACCCATAACTGTAACCAACAACCCATAACTGTAACCAACAACCCATAACTGTAACCAACAACTAATAACTGTAACCAACAACCCATAACTGTAACCAACAACTAATAACTGTAACCAACAACCCATAACTAACCAACAACCCATAACTGTAACCAACAACCCATAACTGTAACCAACCCATAACTGTAACCAACAACTAATAACTGTAACCAACAACCCATAACTGTAACCAACAACCCATGACTGTAACCAACAACTAATAACTGTAACCAACAACCCATAACTGTAACCAACAACCCATAACTGTAGCCAACAACTAATAACTGTAACCAACAACCCATAACTGTAACCAACAACCCATAACTATAACCAACAACCCATAACTATAACCAACAACCCATAACTGTAACCAACAACTAATAAATGTAACCAACAACCCATAACTGTAACCAGCAACCCATAATTGTAACCAACAACCCATAACTGTAACCAAAGCAAAAGACTTGGCAGACGATGCACCATCCCCCCAATGAAAAGCAGGGGTGTCACTAGCACGTTAAGAGACCATACAATAAGTGTCAGGGGCCCGAGACTGTTCAACTGCCTCCCAGCACACATAAGGGGGATTACCAACAGACCCCTGGCAGTCTTCAAGCTGGCACTGGACAAGCACCTAAAGTCAGTTCCGGATCAGCCGGGCTGTGGCTCGTATGTTGGTTTGCGTGCAGCCAGCAGCAACAGCCTGGTTGATCAGGCTCTGATCCACCAGGAGGCCTGGTCTCAGACCGGGCCGCGGGGGCGTTGACCCCCGGAACTCTCTCCAGGTAAACTCCAGGTAAACAACCCATAACTAACCAACAACCCATAACTGTAACCAACAACCCATAATTGTAACCAACAACCCATAACTGTAACCAACAACCCATAAATGTAACCAACAACCCATAACTGTAACCAGCAACCCATAAATGTAACCAACCCATAACTTTAGCCAACAACCCATAACTTTAACCAACAACCCATAAATGTAACCAACCCATAACTTTAACAAACAACCCATAACTTTTAAAACAACCCTTAACTGTAACCAACAACCCATAACTGTAACCAACAACCCATAACTGTAACCAACAACCCATAACTGTAACCAATAACCCATAACTGTAACCAACAACCCATAAATGTAACCAACAACCCATAACTGTAACAACAACCCATAACTTTGGCCAGCAACCCATAACTGTAACCAACAACCCATAACTTTGACCAACAACCCAAAAATGTAACCAACAACCTATAACTGTAACCAACAACCCATAACTGTAACCAACAACCATAACTGTAACCAACAACCCATAACTGTAACCAACAACCCATAACTGTACCCAACAACCCATAACTGTAACCAACAACCCATAACTGTAACCAACAACCCATAACTGTAACCAACAACCCATAACTGTAACCAACAACCCATAACTGTAACCAACAACCCATAACTGTAACCAACAACCCATAACTGTAACCAACAAACCATAACTGTAACCAACAACCCATAACCGTAACCAGACTTTGCCAGGTTGACGACCTGTTGCCTGAACGAGGGTAATTAAGGTCGCTTTTCAACCGTGGATTAAAACTTGCCGGATAGGCCAAATTAACCTTAAGAATCATACTTTTCCAAAAAAAAAATCAGAGTAATAGATTATTTGTTTTCATTAACAATAATATAAAGATTTTTATTTTTGGACCAAAACTTAATTCGTTTAACATTAAAAATATTTTATTACGTTAAACGGGAAAAAGGAATTCTTCTTCACATATAAATCCGAAGTTTAGGGAGGAATCCCATGACCTCTACATTTCTCGACTCATTTGTGGCTTGACAATGGTCCAGGAGGGATCGAAACGTCGTCGTCAATGGTCCAAATCGGACCGAAACGTCGTCGTAAGCTTCTCTCTTTTATGTGCGGGTTATTTGTGTATCGTTCTAGTCACGGTATTGTGCCTTTTTTTTTTTTGTTATTTCCTTTCCTAAGTGAGGGTGGTTGGGGAATTATTCCAAACAAATTTCTTTTATTCTCCATTAAAGCACAGGGCTCAACATGGCCGACAAGGCAGGTTGTGTAGCGGGCTAGCTGCGGGATTTTCAAGGATAGCTCCTGGTCAAAGAGGCTGACCAGGTCCCTACTTAACAGAACTCAGTGTGAATGCTTTGAGAAGATACCAGAGCAGCGAACGGACTTCCCAGTGCATCGTTTCAGCGTAAATAGTTGAAGTGTTGTGCAGTTTCAGAGGATTTGGTGTTGTCGAGTCAGGACCAGTCAGCGCCTCTCCCCCTCACCGCTGGGGGGGGGGAGGGGGAGGGCGTGTGTAGTAAACAGTGACCCTCTCATAACTCCTCACCCCTGCGCGTCTCCCCCGCCTCACCCACCCAACTCCCAGCGCCACCCCATCTGTAGAGGGTACTTCTCCCCTAACCCACGATGTCAGCGATGGCACTGCAGGGAGTGCCGGGCTCACAGGAACTTCCACTACAGGGACAGCATCGTGGAGTTCGATCGCGAGGCAGCTGTCAGGTGTGCCACAGGCAGTGTGTACTCAGTTCCTCAAGCTTCAACATCCGTGCACACGAGGGCCTGGGATCTTCAGTCAACTTGGCGTCCACCAGGACGCTGACATGTCCCTAGGGCAGCTCTCCATCGGGCTGCTAACGGAGTCACTGGCTTCTTGGACCTCTTGGGGAGGGTCGATGGTGCTCGTGCAAGCAGCAGATCCCGGGGCAACTTGCTGCTGTTTGCAATGGCTGTCTACCGAGGAGAGACAGGCACCTAGCAACATCTGTTGTTGGGGCAATGGATGAATTCCCTGCTATGTTTGTTAACTGCTCATTACTCTGTAATTTGTCTATGATTGTAATCATGTCATAACGTGTTTATCATTCATTACCTTTGAAACTTGTCATGATTGTGACCAGCTCTACCTGGAGCTCATTACCTTTGTGAATTCTCATGATTAATGTGTTTATGATTCATTACCTTTGCAATTATTCATGAGTGTGACCAGCTCAACCTGGAGCTCATTACCTTTGTAACTTGGTCATGATTATGACCAGATCTAGTTCATTACCTTTGTAACTTGCTCAGCTATCAAAACTTTGGAGTCCAGTCCCTGGACCAATTATGTACCTGTAATCTTTTGACTACCGCCCACAGGATGGGTATGGGGTGCATAATAAACATATTAAACTAACTCCATTAACGAAAACTCAGAGAGAGAGAGAGAGAGAGAGAGAGAGAGAGAGAGAGAGAGAGAGAGAGAGAGAGAGAGAGAGAGAGAGAGAGAGAGAGAGAAAGAGAGAGAGCTCTGACTGTATTTAACCTGACCCTAAATGAGCCCCTGCAAAGCTTGACCTCGCCTCACCTGAACCTTGACCTTGCAGACGCTGGTAGAGCTGGGGATCGTCGACTTGTTCAGCTCCCGGTCTGATCTGAGTTCGTTCAGCAACAGCAGTGACCTGCAGTTACACTCGGCCATCCATCAGGCCAAAGTTCGGGTCAATGAGGAGGGCACCGTGGCCGCCGCCGCCACAGGTCAGAGGTCATCTATGGTCAAGTATTTAGTGTGAGGTCATCTAAGATCACTTGTCTTAACGTATTTAGTGATTACAGGAAACCCATCGACGGTGTTTAAATTGAAGACTGTTATCAGTTATTAAATATTTCTTAAAACTACTTTAAGATTTGATACAAATATTTTAAGTTGTATATTTTTAATTTATATTAGAGTTTAACTATTTTATCTATAAATTAATTTAAGGAAATATCTATCGTCATTGTTATTATGGATTACTGACACTGTTATCTTAGCCTCGTCACCAGGTCACATGGCCTGGTCACCAGGTCACATAGCCTGGCCACTAGGTCACCTGGCCTGGTCACTAGGTCACCTGGCCTGGTCACTAGGTCACCTGGTCTGGCCACCAGGTCACATGGTATTGTCACCAGGTCACATGGCCTAGTCATCTGGTCTGGTCATCAGGTCACCTGACATAGCTAAAACTGCCACTCCCTTGTCCTTTCGTCTCCCTACACTATGGTCTTCAGCCCTTCTCTACTTTTCCTCGTTCAAGATTTGACCTGACAATGGTTTATAATGGACTAAAAAGTTTCTAGTGACGCGGTGATGCAACAGAGGCGTTAGTTAGATACTTTAGTGTCACGGGTGAGTCTTAAGGCTCCCCTCCCGTGGGTTCATCCTCCATCCTTTCAGTGATTCACGTCTGCTAAACACCATTACGAAATCGTAATGACACGATTGCAAACAAACCATACCACGGGTGGGGTTTGATCCCACGGTCAGAGAGTTATGTTAACGGCTTTGAAGGGACTTGAGCTAGAGTTCGTCACGGCCAAGCTAGCTGGAGATTCGTCTGTAAAAACTTGCATTTGTGGTCACAGTGGTGCCTATGCTAACCTTCCTATGGTGTAGAAATATACCTAGTTGGACGAATCTTATTGTGGCTAGCTGGTCCAGTGGCTAACGCGACGGTCTGGAGTTTTGAGACTCTCTGACCGCGGGTTCAAATCGCCACCCGTGGTATGGTTTACTAGGACATATATTTTAGTAATCGTTTCGGTCCCGGGGCCTTGATGACACTTTTAAGTGGTCAAGGTTCCAGGATCGAAACGCTTTCTGGTAGCTACGTCCTAGTGTTTGTTCATTTGTCTTTTTAAACCTATTTTATGGTATTAATTATCAAGGTTTACACCATGTTGAGTGTTTCCTTGACTCACCTACAATACTCTGAGCTCAGTTACTAATCATTGCGATATTTATTTGGAATCCACGAAATCGTAATAGCAGCCAGCTAATTCAATGGTTAGCACACCGGCCTATTAGTCTTAGAACTCAATTACCAAGGGTTCGATCCCCCACCCGTTCTGTGATTTGGATGGAAACCTTTATAGCAGTCAAATCAAAGTGAGATCCTTGTTACTAGTTGTTGGAGACCTGAGAGCTTCCCAGGGTCACTTAGTATCAGCTGTTGTGATGAGATTATATAATATGTATAATAATGTGAAGCATTAAACCCGTGTGGGTCATTCAGCGCCAAGTTTGGTGAATGCTCGATCCTCTGTCCGCTGATCGCAAGGCGGATGCGCTATTCTAGCAGCCTGCCAGGCTTCTGTTGTGATGAGTCGCTTTGACGTGTCGATTCCATTTTGGATTACTTGCTACATGCCAGTTGAAGTCTCTTGATATCACTGAATAAACGCTCGCTTATAGAATATGCTGCCTCCCTACCTGGCGGCGCTGTATCTCCACGGAGAGACATTAATCCCTTTTTGAGACAATTTTG